TCAAACTCTCGCCAAAATACAAAATTATAAATACTTTTCATATTGGAAGCATAGCTTACATATATACCATCTGAAATTACATAGTACTTACCAAAAACACAAAATATTTAATATTTTTAATACTATGTTTTTACTAGTTCTCACTCGATACACACGAAACCTTATTTACAACGATTCTTTTAGCAGTTCAGTGAAGTTGCTAATCATATTTTAAGCGGGAAATAAAACGTGTCCATTCTCTCCTTATGTTCAAAGTCTCCCAGGCCACCCCTACCTTGTTTTTCGCTCAAAATGTTTACTGTTGCGATAGAGATTAGTTTCTTTCTGGTTACGACCGTGGTTACAGACATGCTAAGGCGAATGAATGAAGTATCAAATTTGGATAAAACTAAAAATTGATATATTAAGGAATGTTTAGATGTGAAACCAGTTAAGTCGATCTTTCCCGGTCGTCTCATAGGTACCAAGGTAACGAAAATGATGACAGCATAAGCACGGCATTTAACTAAATTCTCAAAGGATCTGTGCCTTTCATATTTGGTTATTCTACACGGCAACACATATTCCTTTATATTTTGCCTTATTCCCTTAATTTACTTTTAATCTACCTTACTTTATATTTCCCACAGGTGGTTCAAAAGTTATCTTTCTTATCATATTTGGCAAACAATCACAACTACCACAAAGATACTCTCATTCAGTTGACCGTAATCTGGACTATGTGCGCCTAGTCATGTTCTTGTTGAAGATAAGTTATCTACAGAAACGTATCTTAACACAGTCATTATATTAACAAATATATTTGGTATAAACTACACGTAATTTTAGGTTTGAGGAAGATATTATTTAACACAAATTGATAATTTACTCGTTTAAAATAATGCATTTTATGTATGAAGTTTTACGAGGATGAACACGTTAAAATCAATAGACAATATTAGAATTATCTGTTATTTTCTATTATGATGTGCACAATATCTTAAAACACGAATATTTAAAATCCACAAGGAAACTAACTTCCTGTAGCTGGCTGTATACCATATATCACAAAAAAATTGTTTAAAAATCCTTTATAAAAGGTATTTAATTAAAACACTCAATCGGGCTATATCAAAGAACGTTTTTGGAATCAAAATTCCATCATCAGTGTGTCCTAAAAGTATATAACCACTTTAATTAAAGAAAACATGAAATTTAAAATTTTGACCAAGGTTAATACAAAATGTCGTTAATACTTACTAAGTGTATATGTTTTGAGCCACTAAATATTTGTGTAAAAACCCGTTAAATGTTTTTAATTTGAATTTAAGTTACATTATTTGATCTTATCTGCTATGAGGTTTAAGTTACAATTGAAATTGATAACATGGCAATGTTAGACTCCACTGAAGGTTGCTGGTCCTAAAACAAAGTGTCTACGAGGACTTGTTGATAGCAACTGATTGAAATGACAATAATGACATGTTACGACGAAAGTCGGTACAAAGTAGTCAATGTAACTGGATGAATTTATCTAAATATGACAGTATCTAGCAATGTTTAAAATTGAATAAGTTAAAATTATAGTAATAATATATGAGTAGCAACCATCAATGTTGTAGTTTGAATTATGAATTTATCCTAAATTTACGTTAAGAAATTTGATTTTTTTTATTAATGTAAGTGGGCTGAAGTTTGGTAAAATTTTGTGGGTACTGATAGGCAACCAACTATACAAATATTTAAATTAAGTGGTGGTAAACTAAAGATTTAAAGTTGAATAAGTAAAATTATAATAAAATAGCAGTAGCAACCATCAATATTCTAGTTTGAATTATGAATTTATCCTAAATTTGCAGTAAGAAATTTAAAATTTTTTTATTAATGCAGGTGGACTGAAGTTTGATAAAATTTTGTGGGTACTGATAAACAACCAACTATCAACTAAAGAAAAAAATCTGTAGTTTACCACCACTTAATTTAGATATTTGTATAGTTGGTTGCCTATCAGTACCCACAAAATTGTATCAAATTTCAGCCCACCTACATTAATAAAAAAAAATTTAATTTCTTAACGTACATTTAGGATAAATTCCTAATACAAACTACAATATTGCTGGCTACTGTCATATTTAGACATACCTCAAGCTACATTGACTGCTTTTTCGGATTTTCCGACTTCCGTCCTAAAATGTCATTATTGTCGTGTCAATCAGTTGTTATCAACTCATTGAAACGTAGACACTTTGTCTCAGAACCAGGAACCTCCAGTGGAGTCTTGTTTAAGACCAAATAATGTAACAAATTCAAATTAAAAACATTTAACGGGTTCTTAACCAAATATTTAGTGGCTCAAAACATATACACTTAGTAAGTATTAACCACAGTAAGTATAAACCTTGGTCAAAATTTTAAATATCATGTTTTCTTTAATTAAAGGGGTTATATACTTTTAGGACACACTAATGATGGAATATTGATTCCGAAAACGTTGTGTGATGTAGCCCGATTAGGTGATTTAATTATTATTATATATATATATATATATATATATATATATATATATATATATATATATATATCCGGTTTTTTAGGCGTTACGCCCGTCCGGTAGGGATCTATGGAGGAGTATCACCGAGCCGCAAGCCCTTATCTCTTGCCGTACTGCTCCACCATAGGCCGATCAGAACCCATTATTATATACCTTTTATAAAGGATTTTTAAATAAATTTTTTGAGAATATTTAACTAATATATATTCCCTATTTTTACTTACGCTTTACAAATATGAACATTTAGAGACGAAAATACTGAATAAATCGCAAGAATCAAAGGAATTGAATAGGATAGTAGTATTTGTAGATCATTCCATTCGATATTAAGATGAAAAATAATAAGATAATTCAAAAAATTGAGAAAACAAGGTATAGCATATTTGTTTGCTCGGCCAACAGATGCTATTTTGAGCTCAATGACAATAGAGTGTGGAGAAGACGATACAACTTTGAACTTTATAGAATATACCAGGAACCAGATGTCGTAAAACATATAAAGATAGAACGTTTGAGGTGAATAGGACATGTAATGCGGATGGAACAAAACTACCCAGCTAGAAAAACGCTTTTTGATAGACCCATCGGTCAGAGAAGAAGGGGAAGACCTAGAACAAGGATAATAACATTGTAACATCGATAAAGACATGATAAATATGGGAATACGTGCTTGGCGGAGGAAAGCGATGGATAGGGACGACTGGAGAGAAATTCTTAAGGAGACACCCACGCAGAGCTGTAAAGTCAGAATGATGATGATTGAGGTACAGTATATAAAAGTTTTACTAAGACAGTAAGAAAATGATAAAATAATGGAACAACTAAGAAGCAACATATTGTTGCGAACATGCATTATACGTAGCCCATATAACGGTTGCAGTCCGGGACGAGGATGAACTACTGTCCTTCTAGAAGCGACAGGAACTGTCGACCGCTGGAGAGTTCAAACGGCAAACATACGAATTAGAGGTGGGCTACGCCAGAATATTATAGTACATAATAAATTTTGTATATAAGAATACCTTCTATGAGTTAAAGTTTAGTTGTTAAGATACTACCGTACTGTAAACCTATAAATAAATATATTTACATAAATTATAACCGCTCGTTTTATTTATTGAAATACGCTACAGTTGGTGTCTGGTGTGAGGATAATTGATTTATTTAAAAAATAAATTCACCAACTTTTGAAAAACTTTTGAACTTTTGAAAAATATTGTTCGTCGGAACATCCGCGCAGTTCGGTTGTGATCTTTGTACGAAAAAACATTTAAAAAAGTACGTGTGTGCCTGACCAAAAATGGTGCTAGCAGAACTTTTAGTAAAACAGTTGCGTGAGCAACTAGAAGAACGCGATGAAGACTGCAACGGGTCCAAGAAGATACTTCAAGAACGACTAAAGGATGTTCTCAACAAGAATGTAGATGAGCCAGAGACATTCCAGCTCTAGTCAGCCGAAGAAGTAGTTTTAACGAAAATAAAAATGTGTCTCAAATGATTGAAGAAACTTCTCAAATTATTAAAGAAGCAGCTACACAAAACGACGAGAAATTCGAAAATGTATCTAAAAGATTCGACGAGACTTCTCAAATAATTTCAGAATTTCAGTATTCAGAACAATGAAGTTTCTAAAACATTCGATAAAGTAGATGAGAAGATCAAACAGTTAGAGAGCATGATAACCAATACAAAAGTGATACCACCAGTTAATACAGTAGCCTTCGATCCGGTAGTGAAAGAAGAATCACTTAATGAAACGACACATCATATAAGATTCAAATTGCCACCATTTGATGGAAAGTCCTCTTGGTCCATATATTCTGTTACAAAAAGCTGTTTCCTTGACTGCTGCTTTACGAGTTGATGGGTGATATTACAAAGTACAAATGAGAAGTAGAATTCAACGAGCAAGTGAGAGTTTGTAAGTATTTGAAGCAGATGTTGCTCTTATAACGCTGTTGGCCTATCCAGAGGCACCAGACAACGTATTGGAAGAAATTGCTGTAGATACCTTTATCAATGGGTTGAGAGATAGTGAAGTACAGAAAGCTTTACAACTAGCAAGACTGAAAGTTTTAGATACAGCGCTCACCACTTCCTTGGAACACGAGACAGCTAGTCGAGCTTCACGGAGCTATCGAGTACGAACCTCTAAAGAGAGCGACGAACAAAACGATAAACGTCTGGAAAAAATCGTACGGAAAGTAGTTTGAAACACGATGCCGAAGAGACACGAAACCAGATCTTGGAATGATGGCGACGTAGATCACATCACAGGGCTGGAAAAAGTCATTCAAATGCTGATGCTCAGTCAAGACAGCCATAAAGTGAAAATTGTAATCACTGTCTTAAATTAGATGAACGACTTTGCCCCGTGAGAAGAATCACCGTCATTAATGATCAATGGCAGCCTCAACAGGTACAAGACGCTCAAGCTAATGATCCATGTATAAAAAGAGTATTGGATTGGATGCGTAATAGTGAAAGAACTTCTTGGCAAGACATTAGTGCATGTAGTCCAGAAGTCAAGTGTTACTGGAGCCAATGGAATTGCCTAGTGCTAAAAGATGATCTTCTGTACAGAACCTTTGAGAACGATGATGGTACAGAATCTAAGATTCGGTTAATTGTACTTAAAAGTAAAGTGTCAGAAGTATTGCGTCAGTTGCATAACAGTGCATCAGGTGGACACTTTGGTATTACGAAGACTCTGCCAAAGGTTCGTGAATGGTTCTATTGGCAAACTGTAAAGATGATGTAAGAAGATGGTGCCGAAAATGTAAACTGTGTGCAAACAGTAATGGTCCAGTTGGTAAAAAGAGAGCACCCATGAAACAGTTGTACATGAAACAACATACAGGTATATTGGTAGTTGGTAGTCCTATGGAAAGAGTAGCAATCGACATTGCAGGTCCAGTTCCGGAGACGAATGATGGAAATAAATATATCCTAATAGCCATGGATTATTTTACGAAATGGACTGAGGCCTATACGATACCAAATCAAGAAGCTGCTACCGTTGCAGAAGTACTTGTTAAAGAATTATTTAGGCGATTTGGTGTTCCCTTGGAGATCCACTCCGACCAAGGGCGAAACTTCAAGTCAACCTTTTTCCAAAACGTTTGTAAATTGATCGGTGTGAATAAGACAAGAACGACACCCCCGCATCCTTAATGAGATGGAATGGTGAAGAGAATGAACCGAACGATGGGTAAACATCTGTCCAAAGTTATATCAGAACATCAAAGAGAGCCCATTCATTTATTGCTAATGGCCTACTGCTCGGCCGTGAATGAAACTACAGTCTAGACTCCAACCTGCCTGATGTTAGGTCGTGAAGTTCGTTTGCCCTGCGACCTAGAGTTTGGCTGTAGACCTCCGAACATGTTGCAAGCAAATATTAATATGATTCTCGATGCAAGAATGAAAGCTATGAAGTAGGTGATCTTGTTTGGCTTTATAATCCACAACGTCGTCGTGGCTTGTCCCCTAAACTGCAAAGACAATGGAATGGTCCGTATGAAATTAAAAAGAGAATAAATTACGTAATATACCAAATTATGAGGTTGTCGAAAGGTAAACCAAAAGTAGTTCACATAAATCGTCTTGCACCTTAAGCTGGCTCAAATGAAACAGAAGAAGCCCGAACCCTTCAACATAACATCAAAGATGACCGGCGACCGAGCTTAAATGAAATTATGTCAAATTACGAAGAGAGAAAGAGTGCTAGATTCGGCGTGACCACAGAAGTTCAGCAGGATTTTTTTAGTGTTCCGCATAACGTCTCTCTAGCCCACTCCGAAGAATACATTCTACTTCAATTGACGGATGAATTCAATGCAAGGTGAAGAACATCAAAAACTGGGTAATAAATGGAAGAGTAGAATGGAATGATCATATAAGCCGAATGACAACAAATAGAGTAGTAAAGACGGCAAGAGTCGGTTCACCAATAGAAAGACGATAAGTAGGAAGACCACGAAAACGATGAAATGACAACTTACTGGAGGCACATTGAAAAACAGATAAAGTCATGTCTATCTAAAAAGAAAAAGAAGAAAGAAGAAGAATTGACGAATGGATTCAATGCCGAAAGTGTTTGAAATGGACTCATGAATTGTGCGCGGGAGTTGAAGAAGACGAAGATGAATTCCTTTGTGAACATTGCTACGATGTTCCCTTTGCGCTAGTCAGAGTTCAGAGCAAGATTACGTTTTAAAGACATTTTTTTTTCTAGATATTATATTTGTTTTTTGTAGAAGGTATCGTTTTACCTCCAATATGAGGTTAAAATGATCCAGTTTCTATTTTTTTATTTGGTTTTGTGTATTTTTTAAAAGTGAACAAAGATTTAAAAACAAATCGTGTTCTGTTAAGATAAACCTATTAAAATGCAATAAAGGGTTTACCCTAAAATGCAATAAGGGGTTTACCCTATTAAAATGCAATTTAAAAAATATTTTTCCATTTTTAAGAAGTTTTTATCTTAGATGGATCATTTTACCCTCTTCACCATATTTAGATTTACTAAATATCCAAATTATTCCTGTACTTCAACAGAATGGTCAATTACCACAAAATCTTTGGTATCAACAAGATGGAGCGCTTGCTCAATATTATCGATGGGTTAAAAATTTGTTCGATGGATTGGACGTAGAGGATTTATAAAGTGATTCGTTTTTATAACAAACAACTCAATTAAATTACTTTCGATCCCTATTTGCTAAAGCTGATGATGATGAACCACTAAACCCAGAGGTGACGACAAACGAAGAAATATATATTGAGGAGGAAGAGGCAAAGGAAGCATTAAGGAAATTAAAAAATAGAATATTACCAGGAGAGAACAGTTGAAAAATTGTTGTTAAGACACTATGGGACAGAGCTAGAAGTACAGATATACGACGTAGATGCAAGGTGGAGAACATCAAAAACTGGGTAAGAAATAGAAGAGTAGACTGGAATGATCATATAAGCCGAATGACAACAAATAGAGTAGTAAAGACGACAAGAGACGGTTTCCCAATAGGAAGACGATCAGTAGGAAGACCATGAAAACGACTTATGACAACTTACGAGGCATATTGAAAAACAGACAGTCATGTCTATATAAAAATAAAAAGATAAAAAGAAGAAGAAGAAGAACTTAATTAAACAACTTGGTTGTAAAAGCATAACGCTATTTTAAACTAATCTTTGTTGAAAACGCTTTCCGGAGTGGAAATTGAAACGTCAAATGTCAATTAGTATAAAATGTAATTTTCATTACAATCAATTATGATTTAATCCCATATAAACATAATATTTAAATTAGTACCAAACTTACTTGCAAAACTACCTGGACAAATTACGAAGGTAACCGTATTATTGGTTTGCTTAAATTACTGCAACAATTATTGAGACAAGAAAAATTCAATTAATTTTGTTAAGGATTATCAATTGTGTTATGATTATTCAATCAACGGTTATAGAAACTGTGTTCTCATTCATTTTGAAACGAAGTTTATAGTACATAAGTTGAAATAATTTAGTAATAATTATTTCAAGAAAATTATAAATTTGAGACGCATTTCAATAATAAATTATATTTAGTTTGAAAGAAATTTAAGGAAAAAATATTATTTTTGCTTGCGTTTTTATTATAAACTAAACTAAAAAGAAAATATTGCACTCGGTTATCATGCCAATAGCGCCGTTCACAAAAAATCTCGACAATTTTTCACTGTTGTCATGTCCCGCCCAAACCAGACCACCCTGTAGCTCCTAATCGGTCCACTTAAAGTGCCCGTCTACAAAATACTGCAAATTGAGTCAAATTTGTCCACTGTATGATTTATTACCCCCAATCTCCTCGGTTACCTATTTACCCAAGCAAGAACTACAATCCAAGCCACCAGTCGCGTAGCTTAAAGCAAACCGTGCAGTAGACAGTATACAGTACTGGCGGTCGCAGATCTCTTCGTAGCGGCATTCAATGCACTTCTAGTTCGACTCTTTGGTGTTGTCGTGCCAAAATTTGTATTCTTATTACTTATTTTTTTTTTCGAGTGGTTACTGTGAGTTTTTTGGTGTGAATGTTTTCGCCGGTCGTAGAGATGAGTGTGATGTGTGTGAAACCGCGGACTTAGTGTTTGCCAGGTGGATACCCCGTTAATTTTTCTCTTCTTTGCGGCGAGTTAAGTAAGTACCCTAGCGTGAAATTTTCGCAGGCGATTCAATGCAGGTAGTCGTAAGAATTTTTTATACTTCAATGTCTCTCGCTGGTTTTATTAACATATTATGTACTTGTAAATTGTTATCGGTTTCCACAGTTTTGATGTTTATATAATAATTTCAAGCGCTGTCTATAAAAATTACACAGAATTTAATTGTAAACAACAATTTAATTTTATTCCTTCGTAAACATTGCGGTTTTTATATAAAATACAATTTTTAAATACAAATTGTTACAGATTTACGCAACTATTTCATTAATAAAAATATTATATACAAAATTTTCTTTGCCATTCCTCTTCATTTGCCATTAATATTGAAAAGTTAACATAATCATTATAGTCACTTTGTTGCACAAAGTTACTATAAATAAGACAAGGAGATCTATTGTTATTCAATTTAGACTAAAGAAGAAACAAAAATAATACTAACATTTAAAGACTTATCTAGACATAACGTTTAGGATATAAAATATATTCTAAGCCACTCGCCACATTCAAAGGGCGATCAACATTAAAGTAAACTTCGAAAAAGAAAGAAAAGTGACCAGATATTAATTAAAATAGATAGAGAAGCGAGAAGTTAGAGATTATGAATGAATAAATAAGAAAAAAATAAGAATTCAAAAGTAAAATTATTTAATGCATTAATACGACTACTTACATTTTGACCAAACAAACAAAGCAACAAGCTGCAATTTTTTTTTCAAAGAACCGCTATAAAATAAACTTTATTTTAACGTTTCGGTTATCTCATCGGAAGCAAATCAATTTTTAAAATCATATAATGCTGGAAACTAACATTTTTGGTACATTAACCTTTCTGTAGACTTGTATTGAAAAAGTTGTCATTACAAATTTTATCGTAGACTTCAAAAAAGTATCGTTTGTATTTTTAGGGAGCGCTCTTTGATTGACGTTATTTGGGGATAATTTAATTTGTCCGAGAAGTAGTGATAGCATGCAATTGTTAGTTATTAAGTCACACATTTCAAAACTCAAAAAGGTACCCCCTACTACATCTTACTGATCCTGCTAGACCCTTTTAAAAAGATCGCTATTTATTTTGTTTCGTCAACTTCGGCAGCTTTCTTTAAAAAAATTTCTTGTTTACACGGTAAATTCAAAACTATGGATCTTCTCACTGCGCAGTATATTAATATTTTTACTCATGTTTGCATATTCTGATAAAGTTAATGAATGAAATAAAGCCGTATAAAAATTTTCTTATCCAGAAGGTATTTTGTAAACTATGAGTCTTCTGATTGCGCAAATGTGCAGTATATTAATATTTTCATTCATATATGCATATTTTGACAAAGTTAAGAATGAAATAAAGCCATGTAAAAGTTTTCTTATCTAGAAAGTATTTTATAAATACAATTTGGGGTTGTTTCATGATGATTGTTAATTTCTATGTTGGATAAATAGATCTTAATATTTTTAAATGTTGCACTATTTGGAATACTGCAACAAATACCTTATGAAATATGGTAACAATAGGTCTCCGTATTATAAATAATGCTAAAAGATCTGTTAAAAAGACGGTAGAAAATGTATTCCTTTTAAATTGAGAATACTCGTAAATGAAATGAAATTGAATATATTGTTATAAAATCTTTACTTAAATTGGCTACTCTAAAGAACGAGGAATGTTGCTAGACGTTACTTTTATTTATAAAATAATGCGAGAAATTTCTGATACTCTTTTGGAAAGCTTTCTTGGAACGCTTTTTTGCTCTTATTTTATTTAGGATTCTAGAACAAAACTTATAGCAAATAAACCCAAACATAGAATATGTAGAAATGCAATTACATTTAATAGTAATGATTTTTTTCTTTTTCACTTATTACTATTAAGAATAAGATTGAAAATACCATTTTTACTCCAGTCGTCA